GGGGGGGGGGGGGGGAGAGATTTTATTGCAAAGTAATCATACAACAGGCTAAGAGTAAGTGGAGCAAGCCAAACTTCATGATACTTAGACCGAATATTTATTTATATATTTATTTTTGAGATGCTAACTATTTTTGATAAAAAAAAAATTAAAAAGTGACGCTAGTTAAAAAGTGACGAAATATATTGGAAATCAAGTGTATATATGTGACGTCCTTAAACATAAGAGAAAATTGTTAAAACAATGAGTAAGTATCACTAGTCTAGGAAGCAATGCTATATAGGGATCTTATTTGGGAATCTAATTTAGGGACCTAATGATGTGGCTTTAATGTAATCATTGGATTAATTGTGAGTTCCAATGTTAAATAGAGCCCACAATCAATCCAATAATTGTATTAAATTAGGTCCCTAGCTTAGGTTTTCAAATTGGATCCAAATAACATTTTCCGTCTAAGAATCTTACACATCAACAACAAAATAATATTTCCCATTATTTTATTTTAGCAATTCAAATCAATATAACACATACATAATGCTTGAGTTGCTTAAGCTATTCACTTAAAAAAAACAAAAACGATCCAGATCGTTTAGATCTGACGGTTTAAATTACGATTTAGTTTTTTGACCTTTTAATCACGTTAACTTATTTAAATTTTAACTTACTTAAATTTTAACTTTTTTAACCACAGTAATTCAACCCATACATTAAAAAAAAAACCACACTTTGTGTATGGGACATGACTAATAAATCTATATATTATATAGAACCTAATGATATATATTGAACAATTAAACTACCAAGTGAAATAATAGTGACCGATAACACCCAAAAGTGTATTTGATATACTTGATGTATGTAGGTGTTCACAGATACAAACATGTCCATGGGGACGAAACTCACGCACAAAATAGATGGTTTCAAAAGTTCGTTTATTTGTCATGAAACATTCTGTCACGATTGACCAAAAAAATACTAAAGACCATTAAACATAAGCAACCAGCCATGATCGAGCACCGCTACATGTACATGTACAGTAGTTGATAACAACATAAAAACATGCTTCTTTATGGAAAATCAAGGAGGGACCCCAGGTAATTTGATCATATGATGAATCAAAACTCTAATTTCAAGGTTTAGAACAATTATGATTTTCACATACTCACAATGCAGAATTAAAAATATCATGTTCAACATACCTGAAATTATTGATTAGTGTTGCCCGAAAATCAGTTTTCCTTTTCTAACACTCAAACATTTGATACACAATTCAATGGAACATGTGTATATTTATAGGTAGAGAGAGGATCAATTTTCTTGTTCAACATTAACTCTACTTTCTATCAAACTAGGATTCTAGGAAACTATTTCTCTTAATTAACCAATCATAAATCATTAGTTATACTTGTTAGATTAGGATTGATAACATTATCATTATTTAATCCAAAAACTAATTATCCAATAATAATAAGTTAAATCGTGTGTGTTAAATTATGTGAAATATGGGGAACAGTCGGCACCACCCACAGGCCACAAGGACTTGCCACATGTATGTATACTCCAGCTCCAAATTGGGTTTAATCCACAATCCAAATTCCAAAGGGTAAAAGAAAAACAGAAAATAAATCAATCCCTACCCATTAACTACCGGCTTTTCCACACAACTTTGGTAAAGCACAAAGTCTCAAAAGTCATGCTTATATCTGAACTGTTACACTTCAATCATTCTCATTCTCATTCTCGTGCAGTATGTCACAGAGCAACACCAATGTAATGCAGAATAAAAGTAATAGATATATAAAAAAAAAACTAAAAAAACTATGACCAAAAACAAGCAGCAAGCATAAATCAACATCGAAGGCAAGCTAGTGGCCAGGTTCACATAGGTTGATTGACATCTCTCAAATTTGGGAGGGGATTGGATGCATAGTGCGATGTGAAACTCTTATCCGTTAAGTTGAAGACATCCGTGTTATCATCAGGACCATAAGAAATATAATTAGTACTTTCAAAAGTATGATCGGTATATATATAATTTGATGAGTATTCAGACAAATCTGATACCAAAACAATTAGAGAATAATTATCTCCCAAGAATAAGGCTTGATGGCCCAAGCTCTTGATTTCAACCCATGATGGTTGTGTCATCCTGATTGATTGTACCAATTTAAAAACCTTGAAGTCTGAAGGCTAATTACAATGTCTCACGTCTGGCTCGTTAACTTTCAAAAACCTTCGAATCATCAATAGATTTCCCTCTCGTGATTGTACCAAATAAGTTATTTGTTGAAACAAATTCTCGTTTTGTTTAGCAATAACTTCATCAGTTCCATTGATTAAATCACCACCTATAATAAGATCACCCCGCTCATTGACACCGTGGAGTCGACCTTCATAATAAATAACATATGAAAAGGCGTAATCTTGTTTCAAATCCATGAATGTCCAAGCATCGTCCCCTGATTTGTATGATGTCAACCTTCTCATGTTACGATTCATAATTATTTTTATCCTGACAAGGATCCAGGGCTGGCCCAATAATATTAAAAAAAAAAAAGTACGAGTTTTAAGCTCCAAATTTTTAAAAGGCTTCATAATTTTAGGTAAATAATTAGTCAACGTAAAAAATTTAAATTCATGAAAATTTTAGAACTTACAAAAAGGCCCCAAAAAATTTAAGCCCAATCAAAAAAATTATAATTTCAATAATTTAGGCCTACAATTCAATTCATAACATTAGAAATTCAAAAATAAAAAATTTTAAAAAAAAATACAAAAAAATTTAAAAGTCAACTCATATTTATTCACATCTGCTCTCTCTCTTAAAAAACAAAAACAAAATATCACATCTTGCTTTCTCACTTGAGAAAAATTAAAAATATTTTTTGTTTTTTAAAAATAATACTAAAAAAAAAGCCTCATTTGTATTATCGCTTTATGCCTCAAATTACCTTGAACCACCCCTGCAAGGATCAAAAGATAATATGCCTTTATAAACAAAATATTCATGGTCAGTGGCATCAACCTGGTAATTGTTTGAAGGTCTTTGAATTCTGGGAGACAGATGATTCTCCCAATGAATGGGTTTAAGAGAGATATGACAATAGTTTTTTCCATAGTGAATAACCACCCATGCGAATAACCAAAACACCGTCTATTGTAAGGCTTTGGCAAGTGGAGATCATGGATTACTCCATCAACGACACTATAAAAACTTTGTTTTTCTTTATTGTTATCTGTTGGAGGGATTATCAATATAGACAATTGACTGCGGAATGCTTTAATGAAACACAATCTTTGAATCTGAAGATGGTGGTAATGAGTGTCCTCCAGTGCAACCGAATGTCATGGCTTGCAGACCGAGCAAAATTAAAAATAGTCCAAAAACTGAAACATGCGGTCCAAAATTGAGGCAAAAATGTCTTTTCAGAGTCCTGCCCAACCTGACAGTGAAAAAGCCATCCTACAAGAAACAGAAGATCTTAGAATCGCTTGCACCATGTGTTGGATGCCCCTTCTTATGCCTTCTCATTGGGACTCAACTCAAATTAAAGATATGTGTATATGTATATTGGAATTATGCATTAGAAGAGTCCAGCACAAGTTAAGAATTGAAAACCTTTTGTCTTCCAAATTGCCTTACCAATTTTACACTTTTTACAACATTGGCTTCTTGCTCACTTCTTTAATGGGGCTCCGGCCCTTAGAAAACCAAAAGAACAATCTAATGATAGACAGCTTGCATCAGTGCTCAGGCTTGTTTCCCGGGGTGTTATCCTCTCTTCCCAAGAAAGAGGGCAAATGGTTGTAATTCAATATGAAAAGGCCAGCACTCACTCTTCAGATAATATCTATCTGCCGTCAAGGCCACAATGTAATAACCAGGGGGCCGCGCCTCCAGAGTCAGATTGGGGAGAAGACAACTCCTGAAAGGCTTTGACTTACATTCCGAGGAAGACTTTCCCAGCAACAGAAGAAAAGATTGCGAGGTACTTCGATAGGATCAAAAAAGTACCTTCCAGCTCAGCTTTGTCATCTAGCTCGGGCAGTTCCAAAAGAAAAAGAGGGTCCGACGACGAGAAGACTCCCAGAAGGTCTCCAAACAAATATCGCCCTAGAAGGCGTAGGCATGGAGCGAATATAATCATCTCTTATTTCACTTCTATCACTAATCCCAGGGGGAGCAAGAAGACGAACCTTCTCCCTTATCTACACAATCTTCCCATGATCCAATTTCATCAGCCCAAGTCCCAGATATACTTAGGGGATTTTCCTTCGCGGGTTACTCGTTCCCAGGGGCAAGCCCCGGCTCAAATGCCTTTGCCACCGCAAAGAAAAATCTTGAAACCAAAATCCACCCCAGCAAGGAAGGAAGTGATCCTGCATCCTTCAAGAATTCCAGGCTAGGAGCCTCGATTGATCCATATCACAAATTATCCCCAAAAGAGTCGGAGTCCGGCTCCGTCAGAAGAGGACTCAGTCTCCTCACCGAGGTCTCAGTCAGAATCGTCAGAAGCTTCAGCTAGCTCATTCCCTTCACAACGTAGGATAGTGTTATTACCTGCAATGACTACGACCGATTCATCTCCAGTCCCTTCCGTCGTACAGACAGTGGAAGAACAACTGGCGGAAATTAGGGCAGCCTTGGCCCGAAAAAATGAGATTATAGCACAAAGGGACCTTGTACAGTAAGGATTGCAGCCCCCAAAACCCAATTAAATGCAGCTGATATAACTAAAAGTGGCGGCTTCCTACATCTGAAGAAATTTTGGCATAAAAAAGAGCTGAGTTGGCTGCTCTGGAAGCACTGATAGCTGCCTCAATTCCTTCAACTTCTGCACCTCCCGCTTTTCAGCCTTATGTTCCAGCTGCACAAGCAACAGCACTTCCACCTGCTCAGTCAGGTCCATCTACTTCCGCATAGTTTGTCACTAAGGAAAAATTGGATGAAAAACTCAGTTTAATAAACCCAAAGAATGCAGGAGCAATCCAGCCTTATCGCAGTCCATCTCCTTCATATCATGACACGGTTCCTTATCCACCAGGGTACCAAATCCCACCATTTTCTATGTTTGATGGGGGAGGTTGCCCTAAAAGACACTTATCTCATTTCATTACCGCTTGCCGGGACACTGCCACAAATGGGNCAGTGGGAAAAATCTGTAGAAAACATTGAGAGGGACAACTTCTTTTGTGAGAGAAAAGTGGAAGACAGTTGCCCACGTCTTACTCTTGTTCAAGGCTCATTTCTACTTCTATCGAGCTGAAAATTCAGAGAAATATTTCTCACTTCCACAACTAGTTTCTACTGTTTTGGATCGTCAATCAGACTCTTTTATAGCTGACTTTCATTGACACAAGTTCAACCACTTCGGTGAGATCTTTCTAGTTGCTTTGTGTTGAAATTCACCTAAGGGTGAAATTTTTATGTTTGGGAGCCAAAAAGATATTTTTCTCTTGATGTTGGATATCTCTAGTAGTGACTAGAAGACTTATAATCTTACTTTCATTAATTGGTAATGGAGTGATTGGACCAAATTTGATCCCATGGTTTTTTCCCTTCGCCTTGAAGGGTTTCCATGTTAAAAATTCTTGTATTTCTTGTTGTTGGTTTGGTTTGCTTATTGTGCTTGTTTGTGATTTTGGTTATTCTCTATTGATTTGCACATAGAGGGAAAGTCACTAGTTTTCCCAACAAGTGGTATTAGAGCACAGGTTGGCTTGGGTTTATTTTATGTGTAAATCATGGAAGGTAATGTGGGGCATATGGTTAGCTTCAATGGAACCAATTGGGTGACATGGAAGACTAAAATGGAAGACCTCTTGTATTGTAAAGATCTTTATGGACCCATAAAAGGTGAAAAAGACCAACACCTAGGTATGATCGATGGTGAGTGGACCAAGTTTAATCGAAAGGCCGTCGGGTTTATTCGTCAATGGATTGATGATAGTGTTTTTCACCATATCTCTACCGAAAATTCAGCACACTCTCTTTAGCAAAAATTACAGAGACGTTACGAAAGGAAAACGACCGTTAACAATGACTTTTTTGTTTTGAAAGCTTGTTAATCTAAAGTATAAAGACACTACAATAAATTTACTTTTTAGCGACAAATTGATTTGTCGCAAAATGTATAAATTTTGTCATAAAAAATTTTCGACGACGAACTCATTTTGTCGCCTTAGGCTCGTCTGGAAAAATTTTCAACGACACCAAAATTTTCGTTGCCAAAAATACACAATAGGCGATCGTAATTTTGTCTCCAAACCTTTTCTTATTTGGTTGCCAATGTTTTGTTCATCGCCAAAAAAATAAATTATTTTAACCACAAAATATTTAGCAACGATTATATTCATGGCAAAAAGTGAAAACTTCAGCGACCTTCTTTATTTCGTTGCTAAAAATAAGCACACAAAATATTGGTGACAAATATACTCGTCGTCCAAAAAGACAACCATCATTTTTAGGAAGGATTTGTTTTTGTCGCCAAAAATGATGAACAATATTTTAGCGACAATTTGTTTTCATCACCCAAAAAATGAACATGATTAAATCCCGTTTGACCCTATAATAATTTAAAAACACCTATAACAACTCAAAAACATTCCGACCAATTTTAATCATGCACCATGACAATAAATAATCCATAAAAACACATCACAATTACTAAAACATTCATATATTACTCAAAATATAAAATAACATTCAACAATTTTCAATAGCATCAAACAATATCCAAAACTCTTAACAATATCCAAAATTTTCAACATCCAATATCCCAACAACAAAATATCTCAAATATTTGAAAGAAAAGATGTTTGGGTATCAAAAAAGAGCTCTTTACAATCCATCGTCAATCTGTGACAAACACAAAAAACTTATTAACACATTATAGATAAGAAATAAAAGAAAAAATATATAAATTTTGAGTTTATAGGTTAATAAATTAATATTTGACTAAGTATATGATAATAGAAAAAAAAAATATAAGTCCATAGTTAAAACCGTTTACCAAGATAAAGTTGAATTGCTTGGCTCTCCAATGCCCCCACCACGCTGCACTACTAACCTCACCTCTGTCATTTGTTGCATCATCATTTCTTGCCACTTCTCCATTTGCTGGAGTTTTTCCTTGATTTCATGCAGCTCTCTCTTCATACTCATTACATTCTCTTTATTTGCAATAGTCTTAGACATATTTTTTGAAGAAGGTTTCGGTCCAACCCCATAACCTCTCTTATAGCCAAACTTGCAGCCAAGGTCGGTATATGCAATATCACCTCTTCTGTGATTAAACAAAATACAAGAATGATTGCAAATTAATATCAATTAGTGTGATTTCAATCACAAACAACGAACCAAATTAAAATTCCACTAATACACAATCAAATAGCAAAATATTGTATGCTCTATGAACTTATCCAGAAAAGAAAAGTAAGTTAATTTAAATATAAATTAAGCTAAGCTGCCAGCCAAAAATAGAGACATGCGCCCCTGCAACATAATTTACATTTTACCAAACCTTTAATCACATTGATTGACTCTTCATAATTTACATTTACCTTTTAACATTGGTAGTAATACTAGAATTCATATTAGTTTTAACTATATTAAATTTTCAAAAATAGACTAGTATTTTTCTTCTGTTTTTTACTATTTTATATTTGAATACACCAACTACCTCTAATTAATGATATCTCAAATTATTTCGTGATCAACTGTTGCCTTGACTGATTGTGAAAGCAGTGTAATCAAGGAATGAACAACAAGATTCAAATGCCATCATAGGTGATGCAATAGAATAAAAGATTTTTACTCTCACCACAGCAATCAAATGGACCAAAAAAAAAGCACAAAAAGGATTAATTACTATGACTTTGGATATTTGTCAACATAATGACATTCGTCTCGTTTATTTAATGGAAAATTATGTTCTCTACAAACATAATATTGATATTTCTGTATTAATGAATGCCCAGAAGCTGGCATTGTTCCTGAGGCGGTTGCACAATTGCAATTTTCTTGCTTGGCCAGTTCTGTTTTAGTCTTTCAAAAAAAATAGAGATTCATTATGTGACAAGCTTTTGATGCAGTGGGTACATTAGATTTAATGAATGGTGGCTCCAGAACACAAACATCATACCCATCCTGAGTAGAATATTGAACATAAATTTTGTCATATTATTTATATTCAATCAGATTTATGCCTTTCTTGCTTGTACAATTATTCCTAAGGTGGACAATAGCAGTCCATTGAACCAAACTATGTTCTTTTTTAGCCTTCGCAAAAAAAAAATTGAGGATGAAACCTCAAAACCTCTCAGGTGATAGCTCTTTGATTCACGAATCGAAGAGAACGATCAGAGAAAAGCTGAGGCAAGCTTGTGAGGCAGCGATGGTCACCATGGTGGCTGGACATGGAACTTCAAAGGGAAGGGGAGTTTCAATTTCCAAAGAAATTGAGAGATGAAACCAGAGATCTGGTGTAGAAGAACCCATCAGAACTATGATGTTCTTGGTGTCATGGAGCCGTACTTACGAGTAGGAGGCCTTTGATCATCCATTTTTCTAATGATGATGATGCTCATCACAGTATGATTATGAAATTGGGGCTTCACAGAATTAAAAAAAAAAAAAAAAAACTATCTGAAATCGTTTGTTCAAATAGGTTTCAATTGGAACTGTGATGCACAAAGAATAATGTATCAATTCCAAGATACGAGAAAACTATGAAACTGAGAATTCTCTGTCGGAATAATTCAATAGAAGCTTCTTTACATGCCAAAATTATAGTGTGTTTTGTGTGACTGACTGTGTTGTGTTTGTGTGACTAACTCTGTGTGTGTGTCTCAAATATACATACACAGAGCGATACAGAAAGAGAACATATATAGATAGAGAGAGACTCACATCAATCAATTGGGTAGAGCAAAGAGGAGACCAAATAGGGCAAAGTGAGGCTAGACCGATACATTTGTCGAAGAGAATGTATATAGATAGATAGAGAGAGACTCACATCAATCAATTGGGTAGAGCAAAGAGGAGACCAGATGGGGCAAAGTGAGGCTAGACCGATACATTTGTCGAAGAGAATATATATAGATAGATAGATAGAGACTCACATCAATCAATTGGGTAGAGCAAAGAGGAGACCAGATGGGGGCAAAGTGGGGCTAGACCGATACATTTGTCTAAGAAGAAGACAAGAGTGTTGATTTAGGGTTTCTAAACGACAAGAGTTATGCTCTTTTGGGAGAATTATATCTAATTTTTTTGAAATTTATCACTTAATTATTTATACTCCATAATATTTAAAATATTGCATACAAATCTCTTAAAATTTGTACGACATAACACTTACGCCCCTCATGTAAATATATCTATTAATAAATTACACCAAAACACACTGAAGTTTATAAACATATATTATTTTGTCCTTCACAAAATATTATACTGAAACTAAAAATACTTCAATCAAATATAGAATATCAAATATTTTAAATTTTACAATTAAAATTCATATTC